TGAGAGAGAGAGAGAGAGAGAGAGAGCGAGAGAGAGAGGGAGAGAGGGAGAGAGAGAGAGAGATCACTTACACATATTGCCCCGCAGGGCCTGTGCCTATGTCATTGGTCTCGTTGAACTCATCCCACTCGAGCCTGATGCGGTTACAGGAAGCTTCCGTCACATCGGGGCCAAGGGCTAGCTTAGGGAGTCCTGGAATATGTGAGGGGTGGGGGGAGTGGGGCGAGATTAGAGGAATAGACAGGTGGCAGGAAATACTCACTGAGCTTGACGGGGGGAGGGGGGAGGGGAGATGAAAGGAATAGAAAAGAGACAGCAGGAAATACTCACTGAGCTGACAGCCAGAAGACAGGGAAAAAAGTGAGAGGAATTAGAGCTGGGCGAAGGATCAATTCCAGAACTGATTCCCAAGATTAATGCTAAGGATGAAAATTTCCGACTCCTTTTTACGAAAACCAACGGTTACCAGTTAGAGGTACTTTAATCAGTAAAATCTTTTTCCAAAAAAAATAAAAATATTTTTGATTAAAAAAAAGAAGATGACGCTTTGTAGTGTTCCGAAATCAAGGTTATCCTAAACCCTAAAGATGTTCGGAGCTAACCAGGTAACCACTGGAAGAAATCACCTCATAGAAAGTACGTAATTGGGTTCGAGGTCGATTCCTGCGATTCCTAGCTTTCAATAATTGGGAACCTAGCCGCCCAGCACTAAGGGGAATAGAAAAGAGACAGGAAAAACTCACTGAGCTGACAGCCCCAAGATATGGAAAGAGGTGACAAAAATAGAAAAATGACAGGAAACACTCACTGAGCTGACAGCCCGAAGAGTCCCAGTCCGGGTGGCACTGCCCACTGCTACAGTCTCCGTTGACGTGGCTACAGTTGTCGTTCTCCGGGCAGTGACAGACGCCTTGGCAGTCCAGACCAAAGGTACCAACGGGGCACACTGGGGAGGTCAGAGGTAATTTTTTTTTTTTTAAATTAGTGAGAGTTATACGGCACTTGCAACACAATTAGGTTAAATAACTTAAGTGCCGAAGATTACAAGTTATTTTCAGTCTAGACCAAAGGTACCAAAACGGCACACTTGGGAATTCAGATTTAGTTCTTGTTTTAGTTTAGGTAAGAGTTTTGTGGCACTTGCAACACAATTAGGTTAAATGACTTAAACACCAAAGCTTAGAGGTTATCTACCGTCTTGACCAAAGGTACCAACGGGGCAAACTCGGGAGGTCAGAAGTAAGTTTTAAAAAAAGTTTTAGTAAGAGTTTTACAGCACTTGCAACACAATTAGGTCCTAAAACTTCAGTGCTAAAGACTAGAGGTGATTTTCAGTCCAGACTAAATGTACCAACGGGGCACACAGGGGAGGTCAGAAGTAAGTTTTAAAAAAAGTTTTAGTAAGAGTTATACGGCGCTTACAGCATGATTAGGTGAAATAACTTAAAAGCCGAAGATTACAGGTTGTTTTCATTTCTGAATTAGTTCTTGTTTTAGTTTAGGTAAGAGTTTTAAGGTACTTGCAACACAATTAGGTGAAATAACTTAAGTACCGAAGACTCAAGGTGATTTTCAGTCTAGACCAAATGTACTGAAGGGGCACACCAAGGACACATCGCTGTTGTTCATGTTTTAAGCCCTAATTGACACAATTCAGATGACATCTGAGAAAATTTCAACTATATAAATAATATATA